CAACAACCATGCCACGCTCAAAAAAAACACTTGCATGTTTCAAATGAATTGGGAATCATTCAGCCGGAGATTCAAAGTGTATAAAAGGCATGCATTTATTCCTAACAGCACAACTAACACGACAGACATTACACTTAACATTAAACAAAGACAACATAACAGAACAAATCAGAATGAAATCAATGAGTAAGATAGAATATGGGAAGGCAGTAACTTAATTTAAATGGGGACCCTAACTGTTCTGCACAGCAAGCCTTTGATTCTAAAAGTGCAACCCACAATTATACAGATTAATAATTATACAGATTAACAAAATAGGTTGGATTAGGGTTAGGGTAAAGTGAATGAAAGGGAGTTTACGTGGTTGTGGATGGAGTCTCTGGAAGCTTGTATGGAGAGGATGAGATGATCGATAGATGGAGCTTGGGGGAGGGGGGGCGAGGTCGGGAGCGGCTCTTAGTCGTTTCGGATGTTTATTTGGAGTTTGTTATCTTCCCCCCTTTTCTGCAGCTGGTCTACACACAGGTGTCTTGGTCTTTTAGTTCTGCTCCGAGATTTGTGATTTTAAAGTCAAAAGTCCATGAAAAATGATCACTGGGAATTCGACACTCAGACCAAAGATCTGGGACATCTGACTGGAGTGCTGGTTTAAAGGTCTATATAGAGGTCCAATGGTTTTACAAGCATATGTCTAACCAAAGTGAAGCAACTTTAGAGCTAATTTCGAATAAAGTATTTAACTTTTGATTTCTTCAATGAAACCTCAGGTTCTTTTAGTTGAATGATGAGGCAGGTCCCTTAAGCTTAAGCAGTTTATTAAGACAGAATGAAGATGTTACACAAAGATGTTTCACACAGCTGGTTCAGTGTCTGTCTGTGTCTGTCTCTGCCCCCCCTGAGGGAAACAGACCCTTTATCTATGGTCTTCGTACAGACTCCTGGAACCAGGGGGTCAGACGGCCTTGGGGAGAGTAAATTGTATGAGAGGCAAAGAACATGATGAGCGAGTAGCAAGGACAGAAAGAAATATAAAATTAAGAAATATGAAAGCCATAAATAAGTGAACTAAATGAACATAATTAAATAACTACAAATTAAATGGAGAAATCCCTCACTTTAGATACATGCAATTCCCTGATATTCCATGATCAGATTTGGGTTTATGGGGACTTTTCTGTTAATTTAACACCAAACATGATATTGCAACCTGGAGATTTACACATTAATTAAGTACGAGATAATGAACTACTTAGAATTATGAACATTTCTGGAAAGCCACCCCAGACTGGCACATCACCTCACCTTTAAAAGGTAGGGGCACATGAGCTACGGTGCATTGTAATTCCAACATGTTTAACAGTATCAGTTGTACTCTATAATAAAACGTATGTACAATGTAAATGAAATAAAATAAAACAACAAAAAACCATTAGTGCACTTTAAATGCATATGTGCATCTAGAATGAGCATTGTGCACTCACATGTTTCTAAAATGCACCGCTTAAATATTGTCTAATAATACTCCATTGAGTTTAAGCAAGGTTTTTGTTGGTCAAAAGTCATTTCCCTTACTTACAATAGCAATAAGCCGACAGTGTGCTCAGCCACAGCTCATTTTAACACCACTCCTACTAGCAGATGTCAAAAGTCATTTGTTATTTTGACAGCATTTGGCTGGTATGAAATTAGCCAAAACAACTTTGGGTTGCACCTTCCACCAGGGCAAAATAGGGCCCTATATGTCTTGGCTGGCCAGGGAATGCCTTGGTATTCCTCCAGTGGAGCTGGAGGAGGTGGCTGGTGAGAAGGAGATCTGGGCATCCCTGATTAGATTGCTACCCCTGATCCCGGATAAGCAGCAGATAATAGATGGATGTTTGGATGAGTTTCACTTATACAGTAGTATATTGTATACTGTATGTTTTCCCCCCACAATCCAAAAACATGGTGCATACCCTAGCCACCCATGCCACTGTAAATAGCCCCTGTCTGTAATTGTAAATAGCCCTTCTTGTACGGTAGTTGTTAATGGTTGCATTTCCCTATTGTCACACGTGTGTTTGCCTGTATTTTTTGTGTATCCAGTCTGATCCTCGCGTGTATCTAGCTTGTGTAAATCTCCCACCATGTGTGCACATTGTAGTTCAGTGTCAGACAACCTTGTGTTTCTGCTCTCTGTATTTGGTTTGGTGCTTGTTGGGTGCCTGTTATAGCCCTCTTAAGTACTGCTAATAATGAGTGCATTTTTCCCGGCAAGCAAGTCTGCTTGTCCTTGCAGTAATACACGCTGCTCCCACGACGCCTTGGTCTACCCGATGCTTCAATACTAAGAATTGATTTGAAGTTGCAAATTTGTCGGTAGGTGTAAATGGTGTGTGTGCCCTGCAGTGGGGTGGGTTATTCTTGCCTTGCACCCACAGGAATGCTTAATTTAAAAATACTCAATTTCTCATTAAAACCACTTATTCAGAAAGAGGAAATGAAACTTAGTGTATATGACTGGAAGGATATCAGCATCTCCCCCAAACAGACTGGGATTGCAATGGACTGGCATTAGGGGTGGATGATACTGGAAGGTTTTCAAATATATTTTTTGTATAAATAAATACTGTAAAGTTTATAAAGTAAAAAAGTAATTAAAATTGTACCCAAAACAGAACAGAAAATTCACAGAAAGAGTCCATCGAATAAGCTGGTGGTGTTGCCGCAAGTTGTGCCAACAAATCACTTGCTTTTGCTCAATGTTGTCTATGGAATCTAAAATATTTCCATACAGCAGTAGGCTAATGTTTTTCAGTGACCAGTACTTTTTTGTAAAATTTCTCACAAGCATGCCGCACGGTCTATGAGTGAGTCTCACAGAAAGGATAAAAATGATTATGATTGGCTTAGAGAGTGATATGGCTATGGCAGCATAAGTAGGAGGGAGAAGCAGGTAGATACTTATAGATACAGTCTGTAAGTGTGAATGAGGTGAGTTATTCTCTGTCTTGTGTCCATACCTTCTGGGATAGACTCCAGACCCCTACGACCCTGCATAAGAAAATTGGAGTAGAAAATGGATGGACGCATATAATAGATGGACATACATAATCAATTCAGCTGAAATTCAGAAGGCTTCATTAAAAATGTAGCCAGTAAGAACATCAAAGGAATACAGATCTCAAAAGATAAGCTCTACAGGACGATGAAATGTCAGGGGGTGGTACTTGAGATCAAACGCTGGCATTTGAGATGGCTTGGGCATATGTTAAGATTGGATCAACATTGTATCCCAAAATTAGCTCTCTGATCGACTCCACCTGGAAAGAAGAAATACAGATATCATAAAACAACATGGTGGAGGGTAATAACATCTGAAGTAAAGGAGATGAACCTCACCTGTGGTGAGGCACAACATGCTGGCAAAGACCAGATTGCATGGAAGCAAATTGTTTCAGCCATACTGTATGTCCTAACTGGGACATATTGGGTGTCTCTGTTTCTCATTAAAACCCATTTCTATTCTACTGCATAAGTGGAAAAAAACATTACTTGGAAAGAGGAACTGAAACTCAGTGTATATTACTGGAAGGATATCTGCAACTCTGGACAAACAGATTGGGATTTAAACACCTATATGTACATAAAGTTTATCCTGCTTGTGTGGAGTTTCATGTTCTACCCGTGTCATGCAGGTTTCATCTGCTTTCCTCCTGCATGCCAAAGACATGCATTCACGGCAAAGCAGGTTTATTTATATAGCACATTTTCAACCACAGAGGTCATTCAACGTGTTTTACAAAAAAATGAGGAAAGTAACAGAAATAAGCAGAAAATAAAAACTACAAGTAAAAGACCTGTCACGTCCCGAACAGGAAAACAGGCGAGGGGAGCCGTGAAGACGAATGAACGGGGTTTATTCCAGGCTCACACACTCCATAACACACAGTAATATCAATGACCAGACTGGGGAAACATACGTAAACCCATGTAAACGTTAATTCTAAGCTTTTTAACCTTCTTTGGTGAGATATGAAGAATAACATCAATATTTTCCTGCCTCATGAATTTTGAAGAGAATGGGGCTGGGGGTGGGTGGAGTCTGTGGTTTTTGAGGTTATAATCAGCAGAGAGATGCTTATCTGCGCAGCGTGTCCACCTCAAGGAAGAGGTCTTACTTTGATTGCTTCATCACTTTAAGAGTAGAAGATGTATGTGTGTGAAGGTGCACTTTTGTGTCTCATTGTGCTGTTTTTGCCTCTCACTGCACCGCATGTTGTGCTGAAGTTCAGTGATGTTCCAGAATGTGAGCAGTTCTTTTTGGATAAAACACCACCAGAGATATCTGGCATTCTTGTTGGAGGAAATGTTCAAGATCAGAATCGTTATAAAGTAATATGCCAATTTTTCAGTGACAAATACAGGTTTGCTACTCTCTATGATACGAGCAACAGGATCCCTGTGTTTTCTGCTTATAAATTCACTGGGAAAAAGGAGCCTACTACAAAAATTAACCGTAACTATATTGAGCCACAGGTAATATTAATATATTTTAAATGTCTGTAGAGTAATCTGTCATGTTGCATGTCATTTGTTTAATTATTTGCAGAAAATTTAAAGCTATGTATCATTTAAAGGATATATATTCTCCTATGCATAAGGTTTGATCTCGTTATTTTGCTTATGCTGTCAGATTATGTAAATGATACCTTTGTACAGCAGTAAGAAGTGATGTATTATCCAGGACACCACTACAGCTCTGTATATGTAAAATTACACATCAGTGAACTTATGATCTTGTCCCCACAGCTTGAAGAGCTACAGAAAGAGATGACAGGATATTTAAAAACGAGGTGTGAAAAGCAAGCTACTTCTCACGATTACGACAAATCAACTAGTGAAAATCTTACCAAGGGTCACCTCTTTCCAAAACAACATTCCAGTGATATTGAAACAGAAAATTCCACCATGACTCTCACCAACATGGTCCCTCAGAATAAAGACTTCAATTCAGGCCCATGGAGCCAAATGGAGATGAATGTTTTTAATTTAATGAACACGCACTGCAGCAATACAAATGGAAACATAGAGGCTTATGTGGTGACTGGAACTGTTCCTGGCAATCAGGTACTGGCGAGCAGAGTGAACATCCCCAAGCTGATGTGGACGGCTTTCTGCTGTAAGACAAATAATGGGGAATGGATGTCAAAGGCACACTGGGGAGAAAATGTGAATACAACTGGTACAATGGAGACAAAGACTGTTACAGAGATGCAAAACAAACTGGAAGAATCTTATGATGCTGACATGGTGCAGATATTTCCACACCAATGTGAGAAAGGGCACCTATTCCCCATGGGGAGGTTCTACCGCTACCAGTTCTACCAAAGGCATTTGAAGAAACGGGTTATGCGTCGTCAAAGGAAGCGTCTCCGCATTCTCCACAGTGATAAGTAACAGGACTGCAGAGGTCCTCAGTAACCATTCTTGCTTTCCCCATGGGGATCAATAAAGTTTCAGTCATTCGTTCATTCATTCCTCTGTCTCACCCTTATTAACAAAATGTGTTCTATTGCCATTAAGTGTAATTTTTTTTCTTAAGCTTTGGTTTCTCTTTTTAAATTGTATTTTGTGCAAAAGAAAATAAAAATACTTAACCGCAAGTTAGCATAAGGCTATTCTGTTTTACAAACAGTTCAAATACATATAAATCACTAAGTAAAGTTTGCTTACTGTATAGAGCACTTTTCAGTGGCACAGTCACAAGTGCTTCACGTGTTAAAACCAGCAAATATATAAAATAAAAACCAAAACCAGTAAAACAATAAAACACAGAGAAAACATACACTCACCTAAAGGATTATTAGGAACACCTGTTCAATCTCTCATTAGTGCAATTATCTAATCAAACAATCATATGGC